GTAAATATGTAACTTCTCTACACTGACAGTAGGGGGAGTTTCCGTATGTGGCCCGCGATGTAAAAGTGAAGCTATGTGGCCATTAGACTGATGGCCCATCACAGAATGGAACCCCAGCGGTTATAAGAATTAGGACAGGACCCCCCAGAGTCTACACACACGGGTGGTGCAGATAAAGATGGAGGCTTGAATGAGCCTGAGTAACACGAGAGAGGCGGAAATGGGACGGAGTTGGTTGCGTGAAGCCGTCTGCAAGGAGAATGACGGGTAAGCAGTGAGCATGCAGAGTAGAGGCTGACTGGCCTGAAGAAGGCGAGCAGGAAGATGATTGGAGCAGCGGTGTCAGCGATGAGCTTTACAGTGTGAGAAGTGGAAGTGATGTAAAGCTCAGATTAGCCACCAAATACCCAAACAGCAGACAAATGTGTGAGCTCATATCGTCCTCACTCAACTGATCATGTGACCTGAGCTACACCAGAAATCCAGACGTACCAGATCCAGTGTTTCCAGTTGATTTTTGCCATTTGCAGTTTGTTGGTAACACTGTTACCAGAATGTTCTAACACCAACATGTTGCATAAAGGCAACAAATGACTTTAGCACATGGAAGCCACTCATATCACACAGGCTTCAGCTAACCAGCCACAAACTGCAGTTTAACAGATGAGCCAGTGGGAGCTCACTGCTGCAGAGATGAACACAAAATCCACAACAGAGAACCAAACTCATGCACGTTGCCATCAACCATTTTCAACAATCCCAAATGAAATCTTGGGTTTTTCTACTTGCGGAACGTGAAAATCGGATGTTTCAGGTATTATTCAAGCAGGAATGGGAAAAATCGGAAAGACTTGACAACATTTTCCATGAAGCAGCATCCAAATCCAAATAAATGTGTACACGGAAATAATCAAAGACGTACAAATTAAAGGATGGAGATTCAAACCCAACGTCAAAAGTTTGGGGACATTGAAAACATAAAGAGAAAACAGAAAGCAATAACATGCAAATCTACTGAAATAAAACTACTGAACCCACAATTTATTAGTGCGCGTGTAGATTCTAGTTAAAAGTGCTTAAGCAGGGCACCAGTTTAGCTCAGTTGGATGAACATGCGACCGTATGCCGCATGGCTGAGAGCGGCCGGCGTCGAACTCGACCTGCGGCCCTTTGCCTCATGTCTTCCTCAGTCTTAACTTTCTCTGTCCAATACAGCCAAAACAAATGTTTAATATAAGCACAGATAAAGGGCTGTACCAATGTGTGACTGGATTCTACTTGTAGTAGAAAGTGCTTTAAGTGATTTATCGAAGTAGACGTCTTTTTCAGGTGTTACATATTTAGGCATGATGATGCTAAATTGCATAGTACAGCTATACCAGCACGGCAGCAGAAAGTACAGAGCTGGCCTCTCTGCAGACGCTTCATCTGCTAAAAACATTTGGCGCACTGCGAAATGACGACAGATAATAACCTGTAATTCTGGATTTCAGTTCATCTGATGGATAATAATGGAATAAAAGGGCAGATGGAGAAAGAAGAGAAATGCAAGAACCCACAATGAGAGCTGCTCTCTTCACAGTGAGAAATCCCAGTCATTAATATTATGGAGCTCCATGAGCTGAGGGCTTCATGGAAGGTCGAACCACATCACAGACATCAAAACTCAAAAGTAACGTCGTCACCATTCACAGTGTAAGTAACAATAGGACGGCATACCTCATTGCAGGATGGTTTTGAGCCAGATCCTTTGGAAAGCTTTGTAATAGAAAATACACGCAGTATTACCACAGAACTAATAATACCCTCCTGCTGCTCTCTGACTGCAGACAGTCTTTTTATCTCTGAACAAAAGCAATTAGATCTGCCTTCATTACCTACTATTAGTTTAAAATGATGAACATACAAGAAACAGGCACAGCTGACATTTTAATACAGTTCTGAATACATCTGAGTAGCAATATAACAAAGCCGGGGTCTGTGGCTTTATAAGTGACACGTTTGAGACGAGTCAGTGTGTTGTTTGGTTAGAATGAGAAGAAACAGGCTTATTTCACTTTAGCTGCTTGTTCTTATCCTTCGGTCATGCCACAGTGACATGACAGGTTGAGCTTTGGCTAAATGATAAAGACGCCCCACATTGGAAAACAGGAGCTGATTAAAGACTTTCCTCTGAACTTGTACGTTTTCCGTCTGAGTTCCTGCCTGGCTGAGAGCGAAAACCGACACCAAGTCAAGCAAACCCCCGATGCTACAGCAGCTGTGCAGGGAGACAGAGGCTCAGCATAATGACAAACTGATCAGACCTATATGCATGTTTTTAACCTGAGCTGACAGTGATTGAACTGTGAAGCTACAGTAAGGTTAATAGTCCCTATGCACAAGTTATAACTATGTTTTTTAAAGGCCTTAAAAATCATAGTTATTATGCTCAACCATTATTTATTTGAATAATTAACCATAATTATTCAATTCAATGTTATTTATACAACAGTCGCCTCGAGGTGCTTTATATTGTACGGTAGACGCTGCAATAATACTGTCACGTTGATGCTGGTGGATATTTAAAGAGAACTGCTGCAGCTGTACACATCTGTAAGACGTCCTCTTCTGTTTCCCTTTTTCCTCTTTTGCAAAGACTAGACCCTTCCTGTATGAGCTCACAGCTGACTGCAGCTGACAGCACGAGGCCCTCTCTTACAGCACTGCTGTGTTTTTCTACATGAACGTGTCTGAATGGTATGCACTGGGTATGAATGACTGAGAGTAACGACTGGTAGAGCCGGGCTGGCACCGCTGTCACCCTGCTGCTGTGTTTAACTCTGACAGAGTATCGGCTTTTTCATTTGTGTTTGTTGGAGAAGCATTCTACAATCACAAGACATGAAATCTGTTTCTTGATTTACATGTTTGTTACTATCTGTTCGCCCATCACACTTCCCAGTTGTTCACACAGAGCTACAGAGCAGGGATCGGGATTCCTCACATCGCTTCCACGAGCACTTGTGTTACAATCGGCTGATTTCAGTTCTTGTGCCAGAGGAAGAGAACAGCGACACGGTGTGGATGTGACCGTTACACAAAGGGACCCGAGAGCGATGGTAAAGTGCACAGACAGCACTCGGACGCTAAATTAGTCCAGAACTCAGAGCGCCGGTGGCCCCAGCCCAGCGACCAGCCCTGAATGTGAACAGGAAACAGATGGATGAGGCTGCAACCTTCGTTTCTACCTGTTCGTGTTTCTTATGTAGAATCGCTGTGACGATCACTTTAAACTGTTGTTGGCTTTGTGTTCATGCCTCAGGTTTGTTCAGTGGTAATTATGTTACAATGTGTTTCATGTCATTTTAGGGAGACAGTGTAACGGGTTCATTTCTCCTGGGAGTAAGTAAACAACGTGCTGCATTACTTTTTAGTGTTCTGCGTAATATGTGTAACACAACAAACCAACACCGAGCACAACAAAGACGGGAAAGACCTCGAACGTGCACAAACGTTTGACCACGCAGCACGCAACTCAAGCCTTTGATATGCTGCAGAAATGGCGGCGGCTCTCGAAGCAGAGCCAATGAGAACCCAATGAGGGAATCAGTGATATTGATCAGGGATCAGAATCACTAAACTCTAATGGATTCCCATCCAGGACACCGTACACTCGTAAAATTCACTTCATGCTGAAATTTAAATGTTGCCGTTTTATTCATGACAAGTGGAAACTGTACATCCAGTACTCGTGTGTATTTTCTACCAACTTGCTTTAACTTCAGCTACAACTGTTTGAACTTAACTATGTGCCATGTTTCTTTAAGCTGCTTAAACACATCCATTCTTAAATACTGTGCTGTGCAAAAGTCTTGAGCCAGTGCTAGTTTCGTTACGTTTTATTTCCGAGGAGCCCGACCTGATCATTTCCTAAATGTGATTTTGAACAACACTTTTCACCCATTTCACTCCCTCCAGCATTCTCACAGGAACGTTTCAGCCAGTCAGCAAAAACGTAGCATGACTTGGTGCGGTGTCCATCTGCAAAATATTTGAGGAAACTGGACAAAAGAAGAAGTCTAAAACCCATGTGACCCGATGTGATGTCGTTAAAGAATGATGGCACTGCATCCTCCCAGTCCACAGTCTCCTGAGCAAACATGCAAGTACGTACTTGAATATTTGGGTACAGAGAAAAATGACTGAAGTCATGACACAAAAGAGTAAAAATAATAAAGTCAGCAAAGCCAAACACAGGCGCCATCTTCTAAATCTGGTCTGTTGGTCTGCAGCCACTAAAGCTGCACGAAACACATAAAGGACAGCAGCGTGCTATCCACCCAACATCTCGATGCACGCTGCAATAGATGTAGGCTGCCGGGGATTCCCATGATGCA